GGTAAGATCCAGGGGGACACAGAGGGTCCTGCCCAGAGCCCCTGATCCCATCACTTCCCCAGGATGGGTCCTCTTCCTCCCACATTGCTGCAGTTTCCTGGAGAGCCATGTATCACCTGGTTTCCTCCCTACCCCTGCCCCACGTCCAAACCGTGTCAAGGTTGTCTCTGCTCCTTCCTCCATGCCCATGCCTCTGCCAGGGTGGCTGTCATCTTCCACTGGGATGTCAGTTGTCCCTGTCACCTTGCCTGGCTGGCCATACTCTGTGTGCTGGGTGATTTACGCCCACCTCCATGGTTCAGGAGGCCATCTGCCTCTCCCAGGCTGTGATGGTTACTGCTCCTTTTCTCCACCCTGTGAGTAAAATTGCCCCCACCTTGACTTGCCAGGCCTCAGTGACAACCGAAAGACCCAAGAAGGGGAAACGGACCAGCCGCATGTGGTGCACCCAGAGCTTTGCCAAGGACGACACCATTGGACGGGTGAGGTGGGGTGTGGACCTCTCATAACTGGGGCAGGGTGCTCTGAGGCGGCCGGCCCCATCAGCCCTTCCCCTTCACCTACAGGTTGGTCGTCTCCACGGCTCTGTTCCCAACCTGTCTCGCTACTTGGAGTCTCGGGACTCCTCGGGCACCCGTGGGCTGCCACCCACAGACTATGCCCACCTTCAGCGCAGCTTCTGGGCCCTGGCTCAGAAGGGTAAGTGATGCTGGGAGGGGCTGATGGGGGTGGGCAGGAGTGAGCGGGGCTCTCACGGTCTGCCCTGCCCCCACAGTGCACAGCTCCCTCAGCAGCGTCCTGGCCGCCCTCACCACTGAACGGGACCGACTAAGGGACATGCACCAGGGCTCAGAGTTGTCAAGGATGGGGGTGAGGCCTGGGGGACAAGGCAGCTGGTGGGGGGATAGGGCTTGAAGCTGAGGACTGCCAGCCTTGGGTCCGATTGCAGATCTGGGTCAGGGTAGGGGGTTGGCAGAGCGAGTCTTTGCAGAGATGAGGCAGCAAGGTGGGGAGGACCTCATCCTCTTGGCACCGTGTCCCTTACCATCTCCCTGCAGGTCTCTGAGGTCCCCACTGGCCAGAGGCGCCTCCACTCACTGTCCACCTCCTCAGACACCACAGCAGACTCTTTCAGCTCCCTCAACCCTGAGGAGGTGCGGAGCCAGGGTGGGTTGTGGGGGCCTATTCTCCTGTGCCTTCTCTCCCAGAGGAAGCAAAGGCCCAGGGCAGTGGGCATGGTTGGTTTTTAGTCCCAAAGAGAGCCCACAAATCCTGGCTCCATCGTCTTTCCCGTAAGGTCTGCGGCGGCCCCATCTCAATCATTGCGTAGCAATCTGTGTGCAGGGTGTTTTCACTTTTAATTCCAAGTCCTCTGGTGCAGTGATTCTCATCCTCAAGATGAGAAAGCTGAGGCTCAAAGGATCTAATGGATAGGCTCCGGCTCCTGCCATTGTAGACTGGCTGAACTGGGACTCAGGCTCTGAGCACAGATTTGGAGGCTGCATTCCGTGGGTTCGAATCTGGCTCCGCTGCCTGCTGGCTTTGTGATCCTGAACCTCAGTGTCCCAGTCTGCAAAGCGGGGGTGATAATTGCACCTACCTCACTGGGTGGGTGTCAGGGTTGAGTGGGTTAGTGCACACAAAGGGCTTGGAGTGGAGCTCAGGGTCAGGGGCAGGCAGTGTAAGCAGTTATCCTGGAGCCTGCACCGGTCACTCCCAGGCCGGGGCTCGTTCCACTACGCCTTCGTGTCCCGCTCGCTCCCCGCTGCCTCTTCTGTTCAGTGTCTGACTCAGACAGCAAAAGTGTCCGTTTATGCCTCCCTCTCAAGGGAACTGTCAGGCAAGGGGTGCCCTGCCTGATCCCCCGGCTCGGCCCCAGGGCCTGACCTCCATCTGGCTGCTCCTACAGCAAGAAGCTCTGTACATGAAGGGGCGCGAGCTCACCCCCCAGCTGTCACAGAGCAGCATCCTGTCCCTTGCTGATTCCCACACGGAATTCTTCGATGCCTGTGAGGTTCTCCTCTCCGCCAGCTCTTCTGAGAATGAGGTGAGGGAGGAGGGAAGCTGGCAGTGGGGGTGACCTTGGGAACAGAAGGGTGGGGTCCACAGAGACTAGAGGCCATAGAGTCCTCAGCCCCTTCTCACCTCAGCTGCTGTCTCTGGGAATATGTCCAGATGTGTTGGGTTGTGTGGTCCTGCTCAGAAGTCTCTGCTGAGGACTCTTCTAAAGGAGTTTGACGTGTTCATCCCCACTGGGTTCTCCCGAAGCTACTGCCTCAGGCCCAACCCCAGTCATCGTCATTCCTCTGTCTCAGCTTTAGCGCTCCCTTGATCCCCTCTTCTCAGTCCCTGAATCTCAGCAGTCCCTACTTTCCCTTCTCTCTGTGTCCTGCCAAGACTCTGTGTTCCTCCCACCAGCTGCAGCACCAGGCCCTCCCCTTCCCGAGGTGGCTGGGCATGCTCTGTGATGTGATGCCAGGCCTCCCGGGGCAATGTCCTAGGGCTCAGAGCCCCCCCAGTACATTCTCTTCCCTTCCCACCAAAGGGCTAGCTGGGCAGATTCTTGCCAGGCCCTAGGCACTGCCCAGCTGCCCAGGGGGAGGCCCAGTCTGCCCGGCCTGTCATCTGTCCTGGCCCAGGGCTCAGAGGAGGAGGAGTCATGCACCAGTGAAATCACCACCAGCCTGTCTGAGGAGGTGCTGGATCTCAGGGGAGCTGAGCGCTGTCAGAAAGGTACCAGCTGGGTCGGCAGGCAGGGAGGGGTGGGAGGCGGGCGGAAAAACAGGGTTTGTCCATAGCCTGGGCCCATGCAAAGGCCATCCTTTGTGGTGACTGACAGTCTAGTAGCTTTGGATGCTGACCCCAGGAGCTGAGGAAGGCCAGGTCATGAACCGGAAAATGTTCCAGGAGCAGCTCTGTGGGGTGGGTCAGGCTCAGGCCTTGGGGCTGGCCTCCATAGCAGCAGGCTCGCCTAGGGCCTTGGAGGGAGGCGAGAGACCCCACTTTGCTGCTGTTAGCAGTGTGGCTCTGGACTTGTCATTTTACCTCTCAGAACCTATTTCCTCATCTATAAGATGGGCTGGATAATCTGCACTCTGTTGTCTGCTTCTGTGTTTAGAAAGAGGACAAAAGACAAGGGTGAGGAGTTGGGAGGGGCTCCTGGGCTGCAGGGTTTCTGGCAGTGGGAACCGTCCGCACCTTCGCATGGCTCCCAACCCTGCCGGCCAGCTCAGTCCTGGGACCTCGTGAGCAGTTAGAGCCCAGTCGCCCTGCCCTGCTGTGAGTCAAGACAAGGGCTAGGGGGCGAGGACACCCAAGACTGCCCCAGGGGCTAGGAGGCAGCTCGGCCCTGGACTAGGCTGTGGGCCTGCTGTGTCCAGGGTGCCTGGTGCCCAGATGGAGAGTGACGTGGCAGGGCGGGCCCCAGGGTGGTGTGTTCCAGGGAGACCCATGGGGCCACCCCGCCGTCGCTGCCTGCCTGCGGCCAGTGGGCCTGGGGCTGACGTGAGCCTGTGGAACATTCTGCGCAACAACATCGGCAAAGACCTCTCCAAGGTGTCCATGCCGGTGCAGCTCAATGAGCCACTCAACACACTGCAGCGGCTCTGTGAGGAGCTGGAGTACAGCAGCCTCCTGGACCAGGCTAGCCGCATCGCCGACCCCTGCGAGCGCATGGTACCTTCTCTCCATCCTCCTCCCCGGGGCCCTTTCTCCCAGGAGATCCTGGCCAGGCTATTCCTTGCTGCTGAAGTTCTACTCTGAGATCCCGTATCTTGCTTGCTTGGGTTGGCGGCCCCATCCTCAGGGCCCTGCACCTGCCTTGCCCGCCGCAGGTTTACATCGCAGCCTTTGCTGTCTCGGCCTACTCCTCCACATACCACCGAGCTGGCTGCAAGCCCTTCAACCCCGTCCTGGGGGAGACCTACGAGTGTGAACGGCCTGACCGAGGCTTCCGCTTCATCAGTGAGCAGGTGTGGCCTCAGGAGCAGAGGGCTGGCCTTGGGTAGCTGGGGCCAGAAGGGACTGGACTTTGGGACCAGAGCTGGGGCAGAGGGATCAGGTCTGGGAGAGGAGCATGGGCAGTCGGCTCTGTGCTGGGCTCTGCGGTGCTCCTGGCCCATGTTCTGAGTGCAGCTATGGGATCCCAGGAGTTCCACCTGGGGCTCATGCTCTAGGGGCCAATCTGGGCTCGGATGAACTGGAGGATGAATTGGAGAGAGCTGGGAGTCCAGTGGCTGAGGAGAATGGGATGTTCCTTCCAAATGGTGTAGAAGAATGCATGGAGCAGGCTTGGGAAGGATAGAGATGGGGCTGGAAGACAAGGTGGGCCAGACCCTGAGGAGCCCTGCCAGTGAAGGGAAGGAGGCTTTGGGCTTTTGTATGAGCATTTTAAAATCCTGTAGGCATTGGCACAATGGAGGATTTGAGGCTGGAATGGGTGCTCAGAGTCGCAGTGTGCAAAGCACACTTGGGTGGCGTGTGCCTGGCTGGCATAGGCCGACGGGGTCCGTCTTGTCATCTCCGTAGAGCTGATTCAGCCCTGCGCTTAGGCCGTGGTGTGTTTAGTTCAAGAGCTGTTTATGCACCGCCCCTGACAGGGCCTGGTGCTCAGCAGGGTACTCTCATGTGTAGGGGTTGGGGAGTTGTCGGTGAGAGGGAGAAATCTGGGCGGCTTGGTCTGGGGTATTCAGTGAGTACATGGCCAGTTAGCGAGGTGGGGAGTGTGTGTGGGCGCGCACCATCTAAGTGGCTTGACTTCCACTGGAGATGTCCAGGAGGCCCCGGAGTCGCTGGCCTGGAGCTCCTCCCAGAGCACCAGGTGGCGCTAACAGGTCGAGGAGTGGCCAGCTTAGAGGGAGGAGGACTGCCCACTGTGTCTAGGGAGGAGGGCAGGCAGGAGTGCTGGGGAGCCCTGAAGGGGCGGGAACATAGGTCCCTGGGACCTGGGGGGTGCCACTGGCTTCCTGCATGAGGAAGGTTTCCAAGACAAGGTGAGGACAGAGACTGGATTACAGTGGGCGTAGAGTGTAGGTTATGAAAAAAATAGAGAAAAATGCAGACTATTTTCAAAAAAATTTTACCATGTGGGACAGGGGAGAGAGATGGCAGCTGGTGGGGAATAAAGGTCAAGGCAGTTTGTGTGCTTGTTTGTTTGGATTTGAAGTGTTTTTGAAAACGTGGTGAAGATTCACACAGTACACTTTTGCGTACAACAAAAAATAAGCCTCCGTCTCATCCCCACACTCTGAAGGGGCTACTGCTACCAGCTTTTGGGATTCCTCCCAGAAATATTTTACGCGTATGTGAACAAAGATGTGTGTGTCTAGAAAAGAAAGGTTTGCTATTTTTTAAGGTGGAAGAAACAGAAAATCTTTATATTCAGAGAGAAAGAGAAATAAAGAGGGAAAGACTGAGGTGCAGAAGGATGAGGAGGAGGCGGGAGCCTGGGGGGCATCGAAGGGAGCAGGCTGAGCAGAAGGAACCCCCTCCCTGACCCACCTCTGTTCTGCGGACTGTGGGAGGCAAATGAGGTTTAAAGGGCCTGGCTTGTGTCTAGGTCCTCAGAGGGGGGTTCGGGGGGTGTTGAGGCCCAGATACAGAACACTGTAAAATTAGCAGTTTCTTAGTGTGGATGTGGGTCATGTCTGTGTTTTGGCAGCAAAGTTAGAGTCAGGGGTGCACAGAGGAGGCCGGAGCTGGCATTTCTGGCAAGTGGGGGAGGTAGTTGAGGGTACCAGGTGAGAGAGCTGGAGGGGCATTATGGGGCTGACAGACTGGGAGGGCAGTGCAGCCGGGGACCCGGGCGTCTTGGCCGGATCTGTGGGCGACAGGGAATGCAGAGAGGCGAGGCAGGCAGGCTGTGGGATGTCAGAGTTGAAGGCTCCAGACGTGGAGCCATTTCAAGTAGGGACAAGGACAAGTGTTTCTAAGGGTATGTGGTGGAGGTTGCAGGGTGATGATTGGCTTTGGGGTGGGTGGGAGAGATGGTGTGGAAGAGGGTAGTCAGCGAGGGCTGGGTTTCAGGCAGCGCATGGGGTGGAGGCCCTACCTGTCAATGTTGCAGGGAGCTTTTCAGGCTTGAGCAGGGGTTCTGGAGGGTGCCATAGACAGGGCCAGCCAGGGGAGCTCCTGAGAAAGAGGGAGGGAGAAGGGAGAACACAGGAGCCTCATGGGAGTAAGAGAGGATGATGGATTTGGGAGGTGGCCAAGGGTGATAGGGACAAGAGACCTGGAACTAACTGGTCTTGTGGGACTCAGGGGAACTAAGGGTGGGGATAAGGGACTTTGGGGTGCCCTGATGGTGCTGGGGGGCAGCATCAAGAGAACTTCTTTGCGTTCCGAGGTCTCCCACCACCCCCCTATATCGGCCTGCCATGCGGAGTCTGAGAACTTCACCTTCTGGCAAGGTGAGGAGTGGAGAGCAGGGGGGCTGGCCCTGGGCCAAGGGAGTGCTCTCTGGCCTTATCTCCACTGTTCTGTCTCCCTCCCCAACTCAATGCCAGACATGAAGTGGAAGAACAAGTTCTGGGGCAAATCCCTGGAGATTGTGCCTGTGGGGACAGTCAACGTCAGCCTGCCCAGGTAGGATTTTCAGGCTCTCAGCAGCCAGGCCCAGCCACAGGCGGTCCTTCAGGCTGGAGGGACAGGTGGTCCTTCAGGCTGGAGGGGGCGTGACCTTAGGGACAGGATAAAGACGGGATAGGAAGGTCTGGCCTGCAGCTGCTTGCAGTGGGGTGAGTGTCTGCAGGTTTTGCACCTATATTTACAGCAGTTGGCAAGAGAGAAAGATGAAAAGCCTTAGAACATAGTAGAACTGGAAGGGCCTGCTGAGGTCATCTGACTCAGCGGCTTCCACACTTTTTGGACCATGACTCACAGTCAGAAATGCCTTTGAGACTTCAAGCCAACGCGTACACATACACGCACACAGAAACCTAAATTGATCTCAGGACTCGTGGGTCACCGGCAAAATTTGAAAAACTCTCATCTAGCTAATTTTACAGGCAGGGGACTGAAGCCAGGAAGCAAAAGGGTATTGAGAATGGTTTGGGTGTTGTGGGAGAGATCTTGGATTTTGGAGTTGGAAGCCGGGAGTTCTGCCATTCGATAGTGATGCACGTTAGCCAGCCTAATTAGTGGTGGTGCCAGCCTGCAGTCCCAGCTACTGGGGAGGCGAAGGCAGGAGAATTGCTTCAACCTGGGAGGTGGAGGTAGTGGTGAGCTGAGATTGTGCCACTGCACTGCACTCCTGCCTGCCTGGGCAGGAGCGAGACTCCCAGAGCAAGACTTTGTCTCAAAAAAAAAAAAAAAAAGCAATGTAAGCGGCAAAAAGACTTGATACCTCAGAGCCTTGAGGCTGCTTGCCTGCAGCACGACAATAAGAAGTAATACCTGAGGGGTGAGGATTAAGCAGGATAATGGATGTGACTGTACCCAGGGTCCCTGGCGCCCAAGGGCAGGGCACTTTGTGTGTTTTCAACCCCATTTCTTAGGCACTCAGGAGCTTTCTAGATGAGTGGAGACGTGTTCATTGACCACGTTGTGTCAAGGCTGCTCTGCCTTGTGAATAGAAGTCATCCTTCACTGCAGAACTGAGCCAGGACCCCAGGGTTCCTGTCACACCCATGTGATGTGCTCCAGCAAGACAGGAGGCCCCTGACTCACTTGTTCTTGGGGCCAGCCAGCTGCCCTTCCATACCTTGTCTTTCTCAGGTTTGGGGACCACTTTGAGTGGAACAAGGTGACGTCCTGCATTCACAACGTCCTGAGCGGCCAGCGCTGGATTGAGCACTATGGGGAGGTGCTCATCCGAAACACACAGGACAGCTCCTGCCACTGCAAGATCACCTTCTGCAAGGTGCACATGCCAGCCTGACCCTGCCCATCCACCCCTGGCAGCCTCGGCCTCTGGAGGTCACCCTGGCTAAGGGGGAGGGGACACCTCTCTAAACCCTGCCTTCCCTGTCCCAGGCCAAGTACTGGAGTTCCAATGTCCATGAGGTACAGGGTGCTGTGCTCAGTCGGAGCGGCCGTGTCCTCCACCGACTCTTTGGGAAGTGGCACGAGGGGCTGTACCGGGGACCCACGCCGGGCGGCCAGTGCATCTGGAAACCCAGTAAGTGGAGGGGTCACAGAGGGCTGGCTGAGGCTAGAGCGGCTCAGGCCCCGTTCACCTGCCCCAGCCCCTTGCCTTCCCCCAGACTCAATGCCCCCTGACCATGAGCGAAACTTCGGCTTCACCCAGTTTGCCCTGGAGCTGAATGAGCTGACAGCAGAGCTGAAACGGTCGCTTCCTTCCACTGACACGAGGCTCCGGCCAGACCAGAGGTCAGTGCTGCACGGGCACCAGCCTAGAACCACCTGGCTCACTCCTTCCTCATGGGTTTCCGAGAACCACAGAGCTGGGGCTTTGTCCTTCCTTCACTGAGTAGCCTCAGAGAAATGGGGCTTGTTTAGGGGACAGAGCTGGGCAGGGTCAGAGGCCTTGGGATTGGGGGCCCCTGCAGATGGGCAGTTCCACTGAATTCGATCTGGATCCTCAGGTACCTGGAGGAGGGGAACATACAGGCCGCTGAGGCCCAGAAGAGAAGGATTGAGCAGCTGCAGCGGGACAGGCGCAAAGTCATGGAGGAGAACAACATCGTCCACCAGGCTCGCTTCTTCAGGTGCCTCAGCCTTGCCCTCTGCCCTGGGTCTCCCCAGGAGCCCTGCTTGGAGCAGGGAAAGCATGGGAGGCAGTGCCTTAGGGCCCTAGCCTGCCTTCTAGCTGTTCACCCTCACCGCCACCGCCTTCTCCCACCAGGCGGCAGACAGACAGCAGTGGGAAGGAATGGTGGGTGACCAACAATACCTACTGGAGGCTGCGGGCCGAGCCAGGCTACGGGAACATGGATGGGGCCGTGCTCTGGTAGCCTTGGCCCCGGGGGCAGGAGGCTCTGGTTACTCGCTACTCCTGCCCCCACCCGCTACCACGGACACATGGGTGAGGCCAGGCTCCCCCCCAACTGCCCTTGAGACCAAAGGGGCAGCCCTGGTCCTCTCTCCCCTCTGCTGGCCAGAGGGGCTGCATCTCAGCCCACCTGCACCCCACTGTTTGGGGTGAGAAGCAGAATCTATCTTCCCCAATCTCCTTGCCCCAGACAATCAGCATGTAAGACCCTTCCTGCTTCACCATTTCCCTTCCTGTCCCTTTGGGGTGCTTGGGGAAGACTCCGGCTCCCAGGATCTGTTCCCCATTTCAGTGCCTTCCTAGGACACAGGGGACCTCTTGATGCTCCCCAGGCTTTCTGTGCCCAGGGTGCGTCCCCGGCAGTGAGGTTGCAGTGAGTGAAGGCGAGGAGATGTTCTCCCCTCCCCTTCCCTTGCCCATCTCCAGCATCTTCTTCCCCTCCCTGGCCCCACAGGGCCTTCTCCATCTCCTTTTGGTTGGTCCCTGGCCATCCCTCCTGTCCTGGATCCCTTCTCCCTAACTGCAAAATGCCTGCAGCTTCCAGCTCCTTCGTCCCTGATCCTCAAGTGGTTCCCTCCTGTCTCAGCTCAGCGGATCCCCCAGAGTGGAGGAGTCCTCTCCATGAGGAGGGGAGCAGCCCGAGGTGCCTGGCCTCCAACCCACCGGCAGCGAGTGCGCAGGTGTGAGTGTAAGTTCACGTAGGAGAGTGTGTGCGTGTGCACCTGTGCCCTGCTTGCAGGCGAGCAGGGCTCCTTCATGTAGCCCGGCCTTCCCCCTGCTGGGGGTCCACCACATCGCTGCTCTTTCTCACAGTCTGCCTCTGATGAGGGCGAATTGCTATGACATTCCAAGCTCCAATAAAGACTGTCCCAGACTTTGGCCTGTGACCATTCATTGAATGAAAAACACGTGTGCTCAAGGTCAGTGGAAGGTCCACAGCCAGTGTCATGGGTAAAATGAATTTTGTCCCCCAAGGAATGTTTCTAGCCCTCAGGAATGTGCATGTGACCTTAGTTGCAAATAGTGTCTTCACAGCTATAATTCAGTTAAAATAAGGTCATATTGGATTCGGGTGGCTCTATTCCAGTGGCTGGTGTCCTTATAAGTAGAGTGAAATTTGGGCACACAGACGTACGCAAAAGAAGACAAGCGTGTGAAACAGACACACGGGAGTTGGCCACGTGGAGACGTAGGCAGAGATGGGAGCGAGGCATCTGCAAGCGGAGAGTGCCAGGGCTGCTGGCAGCCGCCCGAAGCTTGGAGAGAGGCGGAGAGAGATTCTCCCACTGAGCCTCAAGGAGGAGCCAACCCTGCTGACACCTTGATTCCAGACTCCTGGCCTCAGCTATGACAGAATACATTCCTGTTGCTGTAAGTCACCCAATATGTGGCGCACTGTTACAGCAGCCTGGAACTGAATACAGCCACCACCAGCCTGAGCCAAAAGCTGAGTTCATCTTCCCTCCTGCTTGATCCTGTCACTTCAGCCCCAGGGGTCTCTCTGCACTGGCCCCTTCTCTCCATTGCACTGGCTAAGCTGAGCCCTCATCGACGCTTGCCTGGACTGTTGGCGGTGGCCTCCAGGGCGGTATTTCTTTCTTTCTTTTCTTTTCCTTTTTTTTTTTTGAGATGGAATTTCATTCTTCTTGACCAGGTTGCAGTGCAATGGCGTGATCTCGGATCACTACGCCCGGCTAATTTTATATTTTTAGTAGAGACAGGGTTTCTCCATGCTGGTCAGGCTGGTCGCAAACTCCTGACCTCAGCTGATCCGCCCACCTCAGCCTCCCAAAGTGTTGGGATTATAGGCATAAGCCACTGCGGCTGGCCTCCGGGGTGGTATTTCAAGAGAAAATGTGGCACTTCATGTCTGCTTAAAATACATCCACTGCTTCCCAGTGCCTAGAGGAAAATCCAAACTCTTCGACTGGTAGAAAACCACATGGCCCCTGGCTCCCTGTCTGGCACAGAGTGCTGACCCTGACAGGCAGCACCCTAAGTCAGGTCTGTGTAGTGCCCCGCCTCCACCCCCAGGATCAGTGAGTGTTCAAGGGCGGAAGGGAGGGAGGAGGACAACAGTTCCTCCCCACCGCCCTCGCCACTGGGGTCAGCTCTGATTCTGAAGCTGTGTGATCTTGGTCAGGTTGCCTTACCCTTCTGTTCAGAGGCTTCATCTCTTGTTTGGCTTCTCTTGTGTCTTAAAGGAGAAGATCTGTGAGGTGACCCAGGCTCCTCATTTCATTCATTCTTTCTTAGCGCCTCACCCCCACTCCCACCCCACTGCCTGCAGCAACAGAGACCCCAGTCCTGCTCTGGCTCGATTAGTGTCCCAGGAGGAAGTCATGCATTCTTTGGGGGGTGGCAGGGTGGCAGGAACAGAGGGGACGCCTGAGCTATGACAGCCCTTCACATTGTCATCTTTTTCTTCCTCCCCAGCCCCTGTGGAGGAGCGGTGGTCCACATTTCCAGTTTATTTACAGCAAGTGTCGAAGTTAAAATGAATACACTTGTCTTGATACCACATGCCAGAAATAACCTCAACCCATTCCGAAAAAAGCCAAGGCCCACACACATTCAGGATATTTTTAAACAGCGTGCACTGCCCTTCTCTGGGCCCTTTCCCCTCAGAGCACCACAGCATCTGATGGACCAGCTCGTGACAAATTGCCACGCATTTTAAGAACCGGAGTTTAGGCTTGATGTGGTGGCTCGCACCTGTAATCCCAGCACTTTGGGAGGTCGAGGTGGGTGGACCATGAGGTCAGGAGTTCAGGACCAGCCTGGCCAAGATGGTGAAACTCCGTCTCTACTAAAAATACAAAAATTAGCAGGGTGTGGTGGTGGGGTGCCTGTAATCCTAGCTACTTGGGAGGCTGAGGCAGGAGAATTGCTTGAACCTGGGAGGCAGCGGTTGCAGTGAGCTGAGATTGCACCACTGCACTCCAGCCTGAGTGACAGAGTGACACTCCCTCTCAAAAAATAAAAGAACCGGAGTTTAAAATAAACCAAATTCCCAAGTTATTTTTCCAGTGGTGACAAGAAACCAAAAACTCCTCTGTGGCTGTGTCTGCTGGACCAGCATCCTCCCCCGACTTCTTTCCCAGGCACAGCCCAGGTGCCACCTCAACAGCTGGAAGTGGGGGTAAGCCTAGTCCAGATGTCCCACAGGAGTACCCATCACCACTGGGCCATGGGGAACCCAGCACAGACCCAGACCTCCTGGCCTTGGTTGGAGGACATGGTGGGCTTGGAGCAAAGGGGAGAATTTTGGGGCTTAATGGCCCCAAATTAGGGGCCATTAAAGGCTTAGTGGTCCTTGACTAGGCTTGGAGTGCAGCAGTTTGGAAAGCCAGGGACCTGCTTCCCTAGATGAGCAAAGGAGGATGGAGCTTGGACAGCAGGGGAGATGCCTGGGCCACTCAATAGTGGCAGAGGGAGAGGAAGGTAGGCAGGAGGTGTTTCAGTCCTCATTTTGCCTCCTTGGACCCTCCAACCCCAAACTGCTCCACTCAGAAGGATTTAAACAATTTTTAAAAATTTGATTAATCGTTACTGAACAGCTGATAGGGACACCTGGGTTGGAAGGAGCAAAAAAAAAAAAAAAAAGTCAAAAACAGGCAGGGTGCAGTGGCTCACGCCTATAATCTCAGCACTTTGGGAGGCCAAGGTGGCCAGATCACCTGATATCAGGAGTTCAAGACCAGCCTGGTCAACATGGAGAAACCCTACTAAAAATACAAAATACAAAAATTAGCCAGGCGTGGTGTCACGTGCCTGCAATCCCAGCTACTCGGGAGGCTGGGGCAGAAGAATGGCTTGAACCCAGGAGGCAGAGGTTGCAGTGAGCTGAGATCGTGCCACTGCACTATGACCTGGGCAACAGGAGTGAAACTCTCTCAAAAAAAAAAGTCAAAAATACACAAAACCCCCAATTCCCTGCATCTTCTGAAAAAAGGGTGTGTGTATGCATAATAAACCAGAGAGGGGAAAGAGTGCTGAACCAGGGGAGAGGCCCAGGCATTCACATTGGCTCCGTGAGGTTAAGGTGGAGTGGGTGTTCAGGGCAGGAGGAGGCTGCTGGGCCAGCACTGTGCCTCCCAGCTTCACCCGGATGGCATGCAGCCCATGAGGATGTGTGCAGGGGAGTCCACCCTCTCTACTTCGGGGAGAATGAAGGCAGTGGGGACAGTGGTGGGGGAACCCACAGCCCTTGACCAACATCTGCTGAGGATGCAGGGATCTTACATCCGACTTCAATTCCACTGGCTCTGGTCTGCCGCTTCGAGGGTGCACAGCTCTCCTATTCTAGGCTGCACTAGTCTAGCCCCAGTTCTGACACAGGCACCTTAAAGATCCCAGATTACTTTGCCCGGCCATGTCCAGCCCCTTTAGGGAATGCTCGAGGGACTTTGCCATTGGATCATTAGTTTAATGGTGCCTCCTTACTGCAAAGGACACATTTTTATAAGTGATTCCCCCTTTAAGAGACCCTCTAGTTCTAGCAGGGGTAGCAAAGGAGGAGAGGCTTAGCACTCTCCTCCTAGGACCCACTTCTGTTTCCCTTAAGGTGATCGGGGAAACAGTGTAGACATCAGAAAGACCTTCACAGGCTGGCCTGGTCCAGGTCTTGCTCACCCAATGACCCATTTCTGGTACAGACACTTAACCAGATTACCTGGTCTTATATGGTGGATCAGGGACTGGTCTTCCTGATTCTTGCCACACAGCCCTTCATTTTCTGCTCATCTGTGCCCTAAGAGCCATCATCATCAGAAGGAAACACTGAGAGCTATCAAGGTCTTGACAGGCCAGAGTCAGCTCTGTGTGGGACCCAGGCAGGTGCTTCCAGGATCTGGGAGAGCTTGGCTCTACCGGTGGGGGTTCTAGAGTGCTACTCATGTCTCTCTTTTTTTTTTAGAGATAGGATCTCACCCAGGCTGGAGTGCAGTGGCACGATCGTAGCTCATTGCAACCTGGAACACCTGGGCTCCAGTAATCTTTCTGCCTCAGCCTCCCAATTAGCTGGGACTGCAGGCACACAACACTGCACCTGGCTGGTTTTTTGTTTGTTTGTTTTAATTTTTAGTAAAGAAAGAGTTTCACTATGTTGCCAAGTCTGGTCTCAAACTCCTGGGATCAAGCAACTTTCCAGCCTTGGTCTCTAAAGTGCTGGGATCACAGGCGTGAGTCACATCACGTGGCCCACGCCTCATAAACACATGCCATAATGTTGCTGAAAGATGCTTCCAGGTCCCAAGGTATGTGGAGGGGTGGCTTTGATGGACAAGTCCAAACCATGGGCACTATCCCCCAGGATGCCAGGTCCCTGGGGGTGCTGGGGCCTTGCTGACCCCTAATATGAGAGGCCCCTCAAAATGAAGTGTCTGCCTGGAGAAGGGTAGGTGGGTGGGCTGGGCTCTGGAAGCGGTGTGGGTGAAGAAGAGATTGGAAGGGTCAGGGAAGGAGGAGAAAGGAGAGAAAAGTCTGAGAGCCAGCCACAGTCTGTCTAGGACAAAGATGGTGAGATTCTCCAGGCATCCTCAAGAGGGCACCCCGGGCTCTTGAAAGAATTTAGTCTTATCCCAAGCCCCACGGGACAGGTGGCTCACCACCAGCTGTGCGGAGTATCAGGCCTCCAAGGATGTGGCCCTGGCTGCCCAGCAGTGATCAATGGCAGCAGCAGACACAGTTGCAGCTGTATTCCCATGGACTCCAGCCATCCCCGCCTGCCCATCTTCACCTTCTGGGAGACCCAGGTGTCCCTAGCCTCTCCCAAAAGCTGCCCAGATGGTCTGGGGGAAGGAGGTCAGGCCCCCTTTGCTAGTGCTGCTTCACTTCCAGGTAACATCCCTCCCAAGGACAGCTGATCCAGGATACCT